GGGGGGGGGGGGGGGGGGGGGGGGTTTGGGTGTGACAGATTGAGCTTTCTGATATTGATGGGTGCCGTATACTACTAAGATTAAGCCTACGCATCCTTTGAGAAGATTATTAAAAAAGTCCTCTTGCGGGCAAATATTTTATTGGTAAGATTTCGTTTTATTCTGTTAGCTTGGGTGGTGATTGATTATGTTTGAAGATTCTGAATGTAATAATGATGAAAAATCTTGATTGTTCTGTAAGCTTTTAATTCTCTTTTCACTAAGCGTTTTGGATTTTTAACTTTCTAATGAATATCTTACTAAAACGTGCTCCAAGGACTTTTACATCGTCCATGTTATTGTTCTTGTTTTTTGAATTTTGATTAAAAATTTAAATTGAAGAGCTTTTGAAGTGTTCGTTCCAAATTGTAAGAGGCTTAGACTCCTTTAGAAGTGTTACCATAATTAGACTTGAGATTTTTATGTTAGTGAAGCTAATTAGAAATTTTGGTTAATTACGCTTGAGAGTGTTATAACGTTAGAGTTCTCGACATGCGGAATATTGCTTGTTTGCTATGACATTCAAGTTGATTAACCATGAGTTCAATACTCGTTTTTCATTCATTATTCTTACTTGCCTTTCTCTGGATAATACCAAATGATAATATACTTGTATTTAAGGGAGATAAAGTCTCAATTTTGAGGATGCATATGTAATACTAAACCAATCAAGTTTTGAATGACTTTCTAGTTAGATCGTTCTTGCGATTCGGGTATTCAGTCTCATTTGACGTTTTAGACAAATGTGTTATTGAGATATTGAGACCTTATGGTATTTTGTATACATTTTGATGATTGGTAGTCAACTTCGAAATGGATTTGTTGAGGGAAAAATGCTTTATGACTTGTGTCTGCTTGCTTGGTGGGGATAGCTCCTCCATCGTGGGTAAATGGGAAACTTGACTCTACCAATTGGAGAAAAGGCTGGACAGCGGTAACCAAGGTGTTAAGACTGGAACTGTAATGCGAGTGAATGAATCCCATCCCCTATCAAGTTAAGTGCTTGCACCCCTATAGAGATAAGGAGAGAAGTGAGCAAAAGAGCTTGTTCTTCCATCTTGAGATCTTTAGATTAGTAAGATCATGATAGAATCCCCTTTACTTGATATTAAATTCTTAAAGCTACCACCACCCTACAACTAATATAATATGACAGAATTGCTCGCTTAAAGCTAACCCAATTATTAGAGGAAGGACGTGCTAGCCTAGTGCTAGAATAATACACAATACAAGATTAGGGGCAAAGTGCTAAGAAAGAAGCGTTAAGAAGGAAAAAGTTTATCACTATACGAAATTCAACTGTAGCTAGCATGCTAAGATCAACCACTTAGAAAACATGGAACTTTTCTTTCTCGATCGTCTGTTTAAAAGCTCGACTCGTACAAATACACCTATTCCTTAGTGTACATAAAATAGAAAAATGGGATGAGTTATACATGTTATTGTAGGGTTATTTATACAAAGGAAATGCGATTATTCATAGAGTATACAAAGTATTATTCAATAATAAAACTATACCAATATTTGTCCTTAGAAAATTAATGTTTTTAGTTCAAACCCTTTCCTTTAGTTCTTTTGTAGTGCATGAATCTTAGCTGTGATTTCATTAAAATCAACATGGCTGCAAGGATTCTCCCATTGAATCAACTCTCTGGTTGCCTTCCCAATCTCTTCCGTCTCCTTCATCAAACTGCTTAAACAAAACCCCAAAGCACTCAGCCTCAGAATTGCTTCACTCTTAAGCTCTTCACTTTCATGCTCCACAGCCTCCACACAATGCTGCAAAAATGAACACACCATCTTCTTCTTCTCCATTTCATCAATCCCCTCCCTCTGCGCCACTCCCATCTCCACATCCCCAACACCATCACCATTCTTCTCAAGAACTTTCAATGACTTCAACGAACTCACCTCCACATAACACCCCACCAAAGAACTCACCATTTCCTTCACCTTCTCAATGTCCTCCTCTTGATTTTTCCCAATTTTCATTGCACAATGAATAAAACCAAAGAGATCAACCATTGTCGACAGTGACTTGAACAACTTCCCATAGCAATCTGTCTTAAATGGCACAAACCAAAAATTGGGTTCCTCTGCAGCCTCATCAATTAGCTTCTTCAGCTCTCCAATTTGTGTTGCCAAATTCTTCTGACATTCCTTCAAATCCTCTGGAGAATTCAACGAATCAATGCATTTTTGAAGTGCTCTTAAACTGACAGTGAGCTGAAATTTGGCTAATTTTGAAGCTCTGGTTGGCTGTAGAAGGATATCAACCATAACAGAGGATGAGAGTCCAATAATTGTCTCTACGATTCTAGCAAATGCGAGTTCTTTAGGAGAGCCGTAATTTGTTCTTCCCAGAATGATGACAGCTCCAATAATGGCGGAAACTCCACCGGCAGGGCCGTACATTTTGCTTCTCTGAAGAAAGCTGGTGAAGACAAAGCAGGGGAGAAGACAAAGAAGCCGACCCAACAAAAAATTTTCGAACACAACAAAGCTCAAAACTCCATACACAGATCCCACCACTGTTCCTTGAAGCTTAACATTAGCCAATTTGAAGGTAGCCTCTCGTGTACAAGCAATGCTGACAGCCACTCCTAAGCTCGCCCAGAATCCATTTTCTTTGCTGTACATCAATCCCAAGAACACTGCAATCCCCAATGAAAGAGCGGATTTTAGCACTGGAATTAGCCTCTTAGTGCTGAATTGTGAAGCCCAGCTACTCCAAATTGGAACAGAGACCCATGTTTGATTTGGTTCTTGTTTTTTGATTTGTGGGTTGTTGTGTTTGATCAGGAGGAGTTTCATGCAGAATATGAAGAACAGAGAGGGAAGATCATCTGGGTTTGTTGGCATTTCTTGGTTGGATTGAGTGATCTTGTTTATTGTGGCTTCCTCATCTGGGTTTGACTCGGGAAAAGTATGTGAATCAGACGGTGAATAAGCGTTTTGGATTAAAGCTTTGGTGATGTGATTTTCCAAAGCGTTTAGACCATTTCTAAGTGATTGATCTTTAAGTGTTTGGATTGGATATGAACCAACGTTGGATAAAGCTAAATCCATTCCCCTCAACGCCGTCTCCAAATTTTGTAGCTTGTCAACGCCGCTCGACCATCCCTGTCCGCACATTTTGTATGGAATAATCCATTCCCATTGCATGCTTTCCTGTTCAACCCAAAACAACATTAATGTTGTTATTTCCCATCCTTCAACTTTGGAACATGTTTCAGACTTTTCATAAGACAAGATTCCGATCAACATTAAAAAAATTAGGGAGTTAGATGAACCCAACTCTCCACGATGTTATGATATTGTTCACTTTGATCATAATCTCTCATGGCTTTGTATTGGGCTTTCCCAACACGCCTCACACCAATAGAGAGAGTATTCTTTTATTATAAACTCATGATCATTCCCTAAATTAGCCGGGACTTTCATCATCCAACACAATAAGGAGACCAAAGATCAAAAGAAAACATCTATTAAAAGAAAAGATAGACGGTGGACATGGACAGATTGAGTCAATGTTTTCCACATCTTCATAAATAGTACTATGATCTAAAGATGTACAAACAAAGACAGTTGCAGTTTTCAATCGAGATTTGTGAGATCCCACGGGAAGAAGAATGAAACATTTTTCATAAAGGTGTATAAGTAATGAAAGGGAAGTTCGAAACACGTTTTAAAAACCTTGAAAGGACGTTCGAAAGGGAAAGAGAAAGGGAAGCTTCTAGTCAAAGTTATTCCGGGAAAGAAGTAATGAAATGAAAGCTCTTAGTCACCATTGAAACTAATGAATAAAGGGAATGATGACTCACTACATCGTAAAAAAATAATAAAAAAACTCTAAATTTCATTAGATTAAATGATCATTAATAGTAATTTTCAACTCTAAAAACACTACTAAACGCTTCAAGTGCATCTTACATGCACTTGTTAGTGCTTTCCAAAAAAAAAAAAAATCCTTCCACTTATTTGTGTTTTTTCTAATTTAATATTAAAATTTACACGTAAGTGGATTTTGATGATGTAAGACCCGACAAAGGATCGGTATGGATATAGAAATAGTTATAAATTTCGGACAAACAAATTTGTCATAATAGATATTTTATAAAAAGAAAAATGATAAATATTGTAATTAAACTTAAATAAAATCTAATAGTTCTATTTCAAATACATAACAATCTTTTAAATTGACATTTTTTAGATTTGTAAATATAAATACATTAAAAAAAAAAATTAAATGCTTACTTGGAGTTGTTTTATTGGGTGTAGGAGTTTAGTTGCTGAAGTGGACAATAGTGAAGCTTTAGATATAGCCCCAACTGCCACGGTGTCATTGTCAGCAAGAACTGCTTTCACTAACAGCCTTAACCGCTCTGCCACGTTGTCCACCATTGCCTTGCTCTTCTTCTTCACCTTCACAAATACATCAATTTTTATTTAACTTATTATACATTTTTATAAATAAT